CACATTTGTAAAACGGAATAATAATTATACCTACCCTGCAGAGCTGTTGTAAGAATTAAATGAGAAAAAATGAGACAATACTAATAAAGCACTTAAGATAGTAGACAGTCAATAAATTTTTTGCTGTGATGTGATGCGTGATGATGGTCACGAGCTTCGTTATCCTTATTATGGCTGCTGCTGCTGTGAGCTTGGATGCCTGATGCTGGGATAAGATGATAGAGATTAGATACAGGAAGGCAGCTTTAAGAATCTCACCCCCCCCCAAAAAAAATCTCACCCAAGAGCAGCTTCCCTGGCATCTTTGTTTCATGTGGTAGGCAAAAATATTGGTTCCATGAAGGTGGCACCCACATGATCTCTGCAGGGCAGGGTGGCTCGACTGTTGGAGGCCTAAGGACGGTTTTGTGGGGAATTTGGATGTTCCTGTAAATCACGCAGCCCTTTCTGAAGCATTTGGAGGATGGCTGTCATTGGTAGGAAGTTTGGCTTTCCAGGGACCTCTGGGCTTAATTACTGCTGCTCTTCATCAATGGGCTGGCTCTCTGGTGCCTGCTATCTTGAGATTGGTAGCCTAGGAAACCAACGAGTACATGACAGAAGTAGGAAAGGAGTGGTTTGGGTGTGGGCAGAGACAGGTGCGTGGATTTACTTTTTCCTTTTTCATTAATTTATTTTGACCGAGGGGAGTGCAACTTGCTCAAGTGCCGCCTGTTCTCAGGGTTAAGAAATTATTGGAGGAGAAAGGGCTGCTCCCAGAGCTCCTAGGAGAAAGACAGGTTAAAAGTAGACCAGTGCTTTGCCTGACATGTCAGCAAACGGACCAAAAAAAAAAAAAAAAAAAAGACAATTCAGTATCTCCCGGATATGGGAAACCTCTCTCAGTTTTGAAGAACAGCTACTCTTTCAGAACTGGGACCTCAGCCACGAGTCACTAAAGGGCCCTTCCAGGGCCAAGGCCTGGGTCATGTGATTTCACAGCCTTGGGGTTGGAGTGCCCTATCCCACCCAGCAAGGCCATTGGAAGACCCCCAGGCATGTTCCCAAGCATTATGGGTAAATAGGCAGTTCCTTAGGTTAAGGTCATGTTTTAATAATGTAATAATCCTGGTTCCCTGGTTGGAGCAGGCTTGGAGGGCATTCCTAAAACAAAGAGCAGCCCTGAGAAATTAGGGGAGACTGTACCAAAGGGTCTCCTCCATATCACCACTTGTTCCTTGTCGCTTTGCATTTGTCAAGAGTTTCCTTTTTTAAGTCTCAGGCACTTGAGCGTGTGCGCCTGCCTGTTGCTGCGCTTTATTCCCTGCGCCCTGCAGGAATGTTGCTCGGGGTCATGTGCATAAGTGCCTTATTATCTTCAGCACTTTTACACTTGGCCCCTTGGGCTGCCGCTGCTACCGGCTGCTGCTTCACGTGGGCCTTTCTCCCCATTTCCCGGGCCCCCAGTCGCAGGAGGACTCTCAGGGTCCCCTGAGGAAAGGGCACCCGGTTTTACCTTTGGATTTCCATTCCCCTCGTGGCCCCGCACTGGACTTTACAGTTCAGCTCTCCTCAGCATAGCCCTGCAAGCTAGCACCAAGCCAAGGTCATGTTTCCCTGTTTGCTGGTGGGGTTTCTGGCCAGTGAGCAAAGAGAAACAGATTGACTCCCCCAGCCCTGTGGCTGTCCTTCCCGGGGCGGGGCTGTCGGCGGAGAGGGGTGCTGTCTTGGCCCTGGGAAGTCAGGGGTGACCTTTAGGCCGAGGCTGCTTTCGCTTCCTGGGGAAGAATGCAAAGCCCTGTGACCCCGGTCACAGGGTCTCCTGCCTGGCTGAACGGTGTTTGGCCATACCTCACAGTCAGGGCTGTGTTTGCTCAGATGGACACACGTGGAAACCGGGCTGGGATCATCTTCCCAAGTTTCTTACTCCCCGCTTTGGGTCTGAACTGAAAAACAATTTGCAAAGTACACTGTGGTCCACACCTGTTGCTGTTTTTTTTTTTAATTCCCCTTTCCACGGCCAGTTTGCAGCAAACTGAGGATTAAGCCTGGCTCCTCCCACTTACATTTTCTCTTTAGTTTCCCTTGGGGTTGGGTTCTCACTTTCCAGTCATAACTGTCCATCGACATTAAGGACAGTTGGTGCCGCTGCTCATTTAGGGTCCTCCCTCACCCAGACCTTTTAAACACCATAAACCTGGACTAGGGTCAGATGGACAAAAAGGAGTTAAATTTAAGAGAAAGAGCTCGTTATAATTTTTGGTTATCTCTGTACACTTTGAAAGTTAGGAGTAGTAGTGATAATAATACTTGTAACATTTTGAGCATGTATTATGCTCCAGGCACTGTGCTTAAGTGTATTGCCTATATATTACCTAATTTGCAGCCTTCCACAAAAAGGTCATTTTTGTTTTATCTAATCCTTCTTTCTCTCGGTTCTAGCTGATTTCTCCTTTGGTCGCCTTATAGATACTGGAGAAAATATTCGAGCAATACTTTCCTGGGTTGAAATGGCAGAGTGATGCCAGGTCGGAGCTGAAAAAAAACCTCAGAGGTCATCTCCTCCCTCATTTTTCCAGATGAGCAAACTGAGACCGAGAGAGGTGAAGTGACTTGCCCAAAGTCGCACAGCTCAGTAGAAGCAGAGGTAGATCTCCTGACTCCCGGTTCATTGTCTCTCTCTAGTACCATACATGGCCTCCTTCCACCCCTAGCTATTCCAGCATAAAGGGAGATGGACTTTTGTTCTTGCCCACTAGTAGAGAAACAGAAATCATGTGTTTTTTGAGCATCATTGTCTTACAGCCTTGAAAGTGAGGATCTCACGGCTGCAGGCCACCTCTCTGCCTGACTGCTCTAGCGACTGCTTTTCTATGTGTTTTTCTGCCCTTGCTCCCTCTCTTCCACAGAGGAGCCAGGCTGTAGTGCCACCATTGCTTGCTGCTTGTCCTGGACAGGTAGTCCAGGGAGTTGTGTACGCTCAGTTAGCCTGTATGTCAAGCCAGTGTGATCTGCTGCGAGACAACTGGTTGTTTGGAAATGAGACCCATTCACTTGGGACTATAACTGAGGTCATCATTTCTCTCCTCTAAATAGAGACCTGCATCCTATCCTAGTGAACAGTTGTATGAGGCTCCACGGCAGGGGAGCAAAATCAGAAACTTTGTCTGGCAGAAGTGAGTGACAAAGGTCGAAGAGGGAAAAGGTCAAAATAATCTGCTAACCCAGTGGAAGAGGTCAGTTCATCTCGGTAAACAATGTAGCGTAATAGAAAGAGCACAGGATTAAGTATTAGACAGACGTGGGCCTTGGATGTAGGTTTCTGGTTGACAGAACCTAGTAGTTTTGGCTAGTCAGGTAGCCTCTCTGTGCCTGATCTTCTTATATGATACAAAGTGTGGTAGTTAAGAGTTCAGGCTCTGAAGTCAGACTGGCCAGGTTCAAATCTTGGCTCCGCTGCTTTCTAGCTGTGTCACTTTGGGTAAGTTACTTGACATCTCTGGGCCTGTTTTCCTTCTCTGTAAAATGGGGATAATAGTATCTTCTTTGTGGTTTTCTTGTAAGAATTCAGTACATGGCTACATGTAAAGTATTTAGATCAGTGTCTGGTGCATAGCAAGCGTAGAGTAACTATGATAAATATGAGTTATGGCTGTTGTATCTGTAAGATAGGGATGATCTTTGCCCTTCATACCTCACAGTCAAGTAAAATAAGATATGTTGAACGTGTCTCGTAACTAGAAAGCACTATCTACATAGGAAAAATCATCTTTTGGGGGCATGAGCATTCAAAGGATTATTAGCCCATTGGTTTTAGGATCAGATATTGGTGGATATTTCTTTGGCGATCTGGCCAAAGGAAGAATAGTAGGTTTATATGTGGGGTTATATAAATGCTGGGGCCATCAAGCAATGTATGTCCTGCTTTTTCCCTCCTAGTGTACTTAAGAGTGCTTAAAAGCCAAGTAAAGTGGTTGGAGGATTTGGAGTGAAAAGCAAGGATTATACTTTTCCCTCATGGCCCCTATCTTAGTTAATGGCACTGCGGTCCATCAGTGACCCAGGTTAAGTCCCTTGAAACCTTGACACATTTCCATTCCTCTCTTCCATCATCATAGTCTCGGAGTCATTTTGATTCTGTCTTCCATTATTTCTCCCATCTGTCTCTTCCTTCTTTGATTTCTCTGCCCTAATTCGTCTGGTTGTTTATCATCATCACCACCACCACCATCTGGCTTACTTACAGCAGCTTCCTGACTGATCTTCCCTTCTCTAGGGGTCTTTCTGCTCTGTCCATCCCTTACACTGCTGCCAGAAATGATACAAGGAAAATTCATGTTGGGTCCTGCCATTCCCTTGCTCAAAAGCCTTCAATAGCTCCCTATTGCCTTTGGCAAGGATACAAATACACCTTACGGTGACAAATACACCTTACGGTGACAAATACACCTTACGGTGCCCCAGGCCAACAAAATACACCTTAGACAAATACACCTTACGGTGCCCCAGGCCAACCGTGCTAATCAAAACATGAGCATGCTTTCCCAACGTGTGTCTCCATGTCAGTTCAGAATTGCCTTTAGCATAGTATATTAGGCAGCAACTATTACTCAGTCAGAGAGTGGCAGATAGATAAACCCTTTAGGGAAAGCCGGAACTCCTTATGATAGGATTCAGGATCTTCTATGATCTTGGTTTCAACCTTCTTCCCAGCTTTGTCCTCTAGTATTTTTTTTTTAATAAATTTGTTTACTTATTTATTTTTGGCTGCATTGGGTCTTCATTGCTGCGCGCAGGCTTTCTCTAGTTGCGGCGAGCGGGGCTACTCCGTTGTGGTGTGCGGGCTTCTCATTGCAGTGGCTTCTCTTTGTTGCGGAGCACGGGCTCTAGGCGCGTGGGTTTCAGTAGTTGTGGCGCGTGGGCTCAGTAGTTGTGGTGCACAGGCTCCAGAGAGTAGCCTCAGTAGTTGTGGTGCACAGGCTTAGTTGTTCCGCGGCATGTGGGATCTTCCCGGACCACGGCTCGAACCCGTGTCCCCTGCATTGGCAGGCGGATTCTTAACCACTGCGCCGCCAGGGAAGCCCCTGTCCTCTAGTATTGATACATTCTTTCATATGTGCTCTGATCCAGCCACATGTACCATGAACTTCCATGCTTCTTTGACTCTGAGTTTATACTTTGTTCATGTTGTACCCTCAGCCAGAAATACTTTCTTTTCTCTTCCCTGTTGAGATGCCAGTCATCATTCAAGGCTCAGCCTAAACATTCCCTCTTGTGAAGCTTTTTTCAAGCCTTCATGCCAGATTTAGCCATTCTTGTCTACTTTAGCATTTTATTCTGCCTTATATTACATAATTGTTTATGTCTCTCCCCCATTCCTTAGTTTGCGTGTTCCCTGAACGCAAGATCTGTGTTTTATTGATTTTTTTTCTATCCTGCACAGCATCTAGTACATACTAGACTCCTAATTTTTAAAGAAAATTTAATCGAGTCTAGTCCATTCCCTTTGTTTTTCGGATGAGGAAACGGAGGCTTAGAGGGAGAGGTCAGGTGTTCATTCGGGGATTTGTTGAGTCTCAGATGTTTGAGACGTTGAGGCTGGAGTGAACAGCAGGTAATTGAGATGTGGTTGGGCTAGCAACGTGATTTAGAGAAGATGGAGGGGCAGAAGATGCAAACATCATGGAAGCCAGGGGAGAGAAAGAAGAAAAGGATTCTGTGAAATGCCTACCTTTGTGGGCAGAAGAAAAGACTCAGTGAAGCAAAAGTGGAAAGACACCCAAGAGAGGAAGGAGTTTCATGAAGCAGGTCCTCTATTGTCATGTGAGGCAAAGAGGTTGAGACCAAGGAGGACTTGAGAAAAGGCACTTGGAATTGGTGAGTACAGGCTGGTCCTGTGGGCAGCCGTCCACCCATTTCTAAATAGTTACCTTAGAAATGTTTGTGTGTGAAGAGTCGTGTGCACGGACGTTATGGCATCAGAGAAGACTGGGAAACAGCCTGCCAGTGGCAGAATGGTAAATCCAGCCAGTGGAGTATTGTGCAGCTTTTAAAAGGGAGGCTGATCTCTGTATTCCCTTTGAAAGATATTCACAGTATATTGTTAAAATTAAAAAAAAAAAAGACAGGGCTTCCCTGGTGGCGCAGTGGTTGAGAGTCCGCCTGCCGATTCAGGGGACACGGGTTCGTGCCCTGGTCCGGGAAGATCCCACATGCCGCAGAGCGGCTGGGCCTGTGAGCCATGGCTGCTGAGCCTGCGCGTCCGGAGCCTGTGCTCCACAATGGGAGAGGCCACAACAGTGAGAGGCCCGTGTACCGGTTAAAAAAAAAAAAAAAAAAAAGACAAACTGCAGAACAGTATGTATGATAGGAACCCATTTCCTAAGAAAACAAACCACAAGCCCTTGTATATGTGCGTGTTTCTGAGCACGTTGCAAAAGCCTAGAAGAATGTGTACCAGTACTGTTTACTCCTGAGTGATTAGGGAAAGGGGGGGGACACGCTCACTTTATACCTAGCACATTTCTGTATTGTTTGAATTTGGTGTGAGTACAAATTTCTTGAGTAATTAAGAAGAAATATTTTTGTAAAGAAAGAAAGGAGATGGTTGGCAGCCTGGGAGAGCAGTTAGTAGAAGAGAGCCAGTGGATGAAGGAAGCCGACTCACGAGAGAAGATCTGGCAACTGAGAAAGCATCATGTGTTTGGGAGGCTGTGCCCACAGGGGCCTTGCTGCCTGTGTGGCTGGCGGGAAAGGAGCTAGAGTAAGGCAGCAACCCCATGGCCAGGAGGTTCAGCTGAAAGGGGAGGGATCAAGTAGAAGAGTAGCAAGGTGGCCTAGAGGCAGGCGGAGGCTGATTAAGAAGGAATTAGAAAAGCAAACCAAAGTGGGCGTGTGTATATAAGGGGGGCAAGGGAGAGGATGGGGTCAGGGGAGAGACTGGCGGGGGGCCCAGCTGCAGTGGGAGCTGAGCACACTCATAGCTGTAAGGAAACATCCGCATGAGGCAAGGAGTAGCACAGTTAAGAAGGGACAAATTAAATATCAACTTGAGGAGTAGAGAAGCTTCCCCCAAAAGGATGAGATCTCAGGCCAGTTAAGCCTCCAGAAGAGTGCTTGGGGCAGAGGCTGGACTAGCTAATTACCTTCTCTGACTGACCGAGGGTTAAGAAAGCCCCTCTTTAAGTTTTGGTGGCCAAAAATGTTTTGGCAATGGCACAGTCATCTTAATGGCTCAGAGAATAGTCCGGTGAGTGACCAAAATGGGATTTCTGTGGCTTTGCAGGCCTGCGAGTTGAGTTATCTGCTGGACCTGTCACTAAGCTTGGGACTAAAGGTGGAGCTGGAGAAGGCGGAGGCCAGGAGTCCTCAACCCTGGCTGCACCTACAGTCATTAAGCAAGCACTTAAAAATACCAATACCGGGCTTCCCTGGTGGCGCAGTGGTTGAGAGTCCGCCTGCCGATGCGGGGGACGCGGGTTCGTGCCCCGGTCTGGGAGGATCCCGTGTGCCGTGGGGCGGCTGGGCCCGTGAGCCATGGCCGCTGGGCCTGCGCGTCCGGAGCCTGTGCTCTGCAACGGGAGAGGCCACAACAGTGAGAGGCCTGCGTACTGCAAAAAAAAAAAAAAAAAAAAAATACCAATACCTGTTCCCCTCACCCCATTCTTATCTAATTGTATGGGCTGGGGGCCTGGACACCAGCAACTTTTCAGGCTCCTCAAGTGATTAGAAGCCACAAGTGTAGAAGATGGGATTAAATGTGTTCTGAGCCTAGACTGGCCCTCGGAAGCTTGTGTGTTTGCGTGTGTGTGTGTGTGTGTGTGTATTTAACACTATTTCAATACACGTATTTTGTCCTGTGTATTCCCAAAGCCTGTGGGTGCATCACTAGTAAAGCGCTCATCCCACTGTGTGCTAGTTAGTTGCTAGCCTATCAGGGGAGATCTAAGATCTAGGATGTAAAATTCAGGAGTTACTCAATAATAGTAACTGTGCTCACTGGGCCTCGCACTGGGTCAGGTTAACTGACTCACCCTGACTCATAAAGCTTATAGGACGAGTGCCAGCACTAGGCCCAGGTCTGCCCCTTTTGCAGTACAGAGCAGAGTGCCTGGCACCTACGTGTTCAATCATTGTCACGTGAAGTGACAAGGAGCTTTGTTTTCTTGTGCAATGCTGCTTTTTATTAAAAGCCCGGGAATGGTAAAATCTGACATATTTGAAAAGCCTGGTGGGAGAGAGGCTTGCAAACTGCCTGGCATGTGAAAAGCTTATGATATGCCAGGCCCTGTGCGGTGAATCTGTATCACTCAGCATCTATTATGCAATTACTCTGAGCCGAGCATCATACTTGGGACTGTGAGATACACAAGGAATATCAGATATGGTTTCTGCTCCCCAGGGAGCTTATTATCAAGGCTCATTTATGGTCTAATTACTGCATTTTTTTTTATTTTATTTTTTTTGCGGTACGCGGGCCTCTCACTGTTGTGGCCTCTCCCGTTGCAGAGCACAGGCTCCGGACGCGCAGGCTCAGCAGCCATGGCTCACGGGCCCAGCCGCTCCGCGGCATGTGGGATCTTCCCGGACCAGGGCACGAACCCGTGTCCCCTGCATCGGCAGGCGGACTTTCAACCACTGCGCCACCAGGGAAGCCCCTAATTACTACATTTTTATGTGGAGAACTTACAACAGGAAAATGATAGAGGTCGGAGGGCCTTTGAAGATCCTGGAGTTCAAACCCTTCATTTTGCAGTGAGGAAAAGAAGCCCAGAGCGGGAAGCTACTTGCCCAAGGTCACACCACTTGGGATGGGGCAGAGCCAGGGCTGGCGTGCCGGGCTGTCTCTCTTTGAGGCCCTGTTACAGTGTTCTGTTGATCAGCTGAACGACAAGTGAACCTAATGGCCCATGTTAAAACTTTAACTAGAATTCCACTTTGTGCTTTATGCTCCCAGCTTCCTTATGGTTGAGGGAGGGGAGTTGCATTTTAGTCTTTCTTAAAACCTTGCCTGGAGAGGGCCAGCACTGGTTACCACTAGAATTATAGCTCAGGCCCAAGAGGCCTTAAAGATGGTACATTTTCCCTTTACTTAAACAGCCACTGACTCTAAGCCCTCTGTGTCTAATTATGGTACTTTTTCTACTCTTTCTAAGGGGCTTTCCCAAGCTTAGTAGGTTTATGCCTCAGTCACTCCTTTGTGTGTGTGTGTGTGTGTGTGTGTGTGTGTGTGTGTGTGTGTGTGTGTGTGAAGCTTACCTTAGAGGAAGGAGGTGTTACGTACGGTCCTGAGAATTAGTGCCGTGGGGCGGCTTCCTAGTGGTGACAGCGTCAGGCTGTTTCTTTTAGCCCCGTTTCCTGCCGGTTTCCAAGTCCAAAATTCAGTTCCAAGTCTGGGGCTTTCTATGAAGAGTCAGGTGTAATTCAAGGTAGAGATTCTGGGTTGCTCTTCCCCGAGCCCCTTCCCCACACAGACAGGGTTTAGGGAGCTGACAGCTCTGCCTTCCGCTGTGCCAGGTTGTGCTCCTTCCCCACATCAAAAATTACCAGCTTTCTTAAAGTGGCTGTTATTTAATTTTAGTCCTTCGTAGTCGCTGAAAGTATTTCTAAAGATCAAGTAAAGACTGAAAGGGTAGCAGGGCACCTAAATCTGGGGTGCTCGTATTTTATTGGTCTGGGTTAGAATTACTAGAATTTGTGTTCTGTTTTGCAAGAGGGCTTTGGGAGACGGTGGTTTCTAGAAGAGAAGCAATCTAAACAGAACGTTGTACATGCAACTTTTATCTCCCTTCAGAGTTTAAGAGCAGGTAGATCCATAACTAGGTCTAGTGTTGTTGACCTTGCACTTATCTGTTCCGTCATCAAAAATCATCTTGGATTCAAGAACACTTAAGGTTAATAATCTATAAAACCTATGTGATGCTGCAGTTAGAATGGTAACTTTGATCTTAAAAAGTATTTTTATGTTATCCTTGGGGTGTGTGGGCACGTGTGTTCTTGAACCTGGGGGCTCTTATTTTGGATCGTACGGGTATATCAATCAGCTTGCATCAGGCAGGGCTGTGAGGGGCTGCCCCCAAAGCCAGGCTCTGGTCTCCTCTTCTGCCCATTAAGATTAGATTCTGCCATTAGGAGGAGCAAAATTATTTACTTGGGGACAGGAAGGGGAAGCCCTGACAGGTGGGCTGTGACGGCACTGGTGATTGGTGCATAGTGTGGCACAGATGTTAGCCTTGTGCTCACTGGTTCCAGGATAAAGCCCTTGGGATATTCATCACTTGTGGGCCATCAAGTCGGTTAGCCTGGCAGTGTTGCCATACAGAAGGAGTTAGGGGCTTCCCTGGTGGCACAGGTTAAGAATCCGCCTGCCAGTTCAGGGGACACAGGTTCGAGCCCTGGTCCAGGAAGATCCCACATGCTACAGAAAAACGAAGCCCGTGTACCACAACTACAGAGCCCACATGCCACAACTACTGAAGCCCGTGCACCTAGAGCCCGTGCTCTGCAGCAAGAGAAGGCACTGCCGTGAGAAGCCCGCACACTGCAATGAAGAGCAGCCCCCGCTCGCTACAACTAGAGAAAGCCCGCGCACAGCAACGAAGACTCAATGCAGCCAAAAATCAAAATGAATAAAATAAATAAATTTTAAAAAGATCTATTAAAAAAAACTACAGTAAGATACAGTGTCACTCATTAGAGTGAATAAAATCAAAAAAACTTACCAAAAAAAAAAGATATTAAGTTAAAAAAAAAAGGAGTTAAAAACCGGGTGGCATCAAAACCCAAGCTGCAGGCACATCGTATTCTTCAGCTACCAACCCAATTTTACGTTATTCATGATCACCTGGGTCTGCGTATGTTCATAGGAGTGTATGTTC